CGGTAGGGGGCGGCGCTGATGCAGCAGCGGCCGGGCCGGGGCCCGCAGGCCGAGGCGCAGCTGAAGGCCCTGGGGCCGAATCCGCAGCCCATGGAGCTGAAGCCACAAGTCATGCTGGACGGAGGGTGGTACCTGGACAGAGGAGAAGCTGGCAGAGAGGAGCCAGAGGCTGTGGCCCTTGAGCGGTGGCAGGCCCTTTTATGCACCAGGGTAGCTGGCATTAAAAGGGGCAGCAAAGACACAATAGCTGCGTTTTATTGGCTTGGCATCACTCTGGCCTCTTCAGAGCCGGCCCAGCTTGCCTCTTAGTGTAGCTGCGTCAACAATCCCTGGCCACAGGCCTGTTTCATCTTCAAAGCCCTTTACAGGCTTCCTAGGACATCACCCCGCCCCCTCCCCTCCTGCGGGAGCTGCAGCCGGGAGAAGCCCCAGGCCTCCGCTGGACTCCAGGCCCCCGTGCGGGGAGCGGGCGCGTGCCCCGGTGGAACCTGGTCTCTGAACCCTTTTCTGGAGTGTGCACAGCTCTCCCTGGACGTACGGCCCTGGGATGGGGTGTCTGACCTGCTCCTAGGAGGAGACAGTGTCCCCCAAATGCTTGTGTGCTTGGCTTCTCTCCTTCCCCTCATTTCTGAAGCTGCCGGTACCGGAGCCCAGCAGACGTGGGGGCGGGGTATAATTTGGGAGGATCGTGGTCCCGTGCTTTGGGTATTCCTGGGGTACCAGGCGGTACAGTGAGGGGGTGCGCTGAGCTGGAGAGCTCAGGACGGAGCCAGGCCGGTCTTCAGAGTCCTGGGCAGCGTTAGTAGCGGACGAGGAGGCAGGACCAGCCCGGAGCTTGCTGGAGGTGCTCTCAGGGGCTGCAGCGGGGGCTGGCGGCGGGGAAGGGCGTCTGGCTGGACTTGGAGGTGAGGCGGCAGGTGATCATTTATTCGGCCATCACTCGCACACACTTGCTGAGTACCAGCTTGCTAAGTTCTGGGGATCCGGCTGACAACTGAGCTCTCTGGAGGTAGGAGAGGGTGGCAGGGCCATGGAGAAGCCATTTGCCCAGAGGCAGCGGGAGAAGCCCAGGGGACGGCAAGGCCCTAGGTGGCCCAGGCTGAGGAGTTGGGGTCTGATGTTGGGGAGCCCTTAGCAGGGAAACTGAATAAGAAATATTGGGGTACACACACCCACCAGGAAGCATGGAAGGTGCTTGAGACGGGGGAGGTCACGAGGCTTCTGGGTGACTTCACTTCAGCCCCTGGAGGACCCACAGGGTGCGACTGGGTGGGGGTGACCGTGGCTGGCCCTAAGCCAGGCCCCCAACTTTGCCCCTCATCTTGGGCAGTGATGGCTTTGATGATGGGCGGTGGGACTGAGCCAGGCCTACCCTACCTGAAAACTGGGGCCATAACCCTTCCAAGCCCCTGTGTGCCGGCTGCCTTTGTATTCGGGGATGACTCCACTAATGGACCTGCTTCCTGACCAGCCACAGCCCAGCGCTGACCCAGCCAGGGCTAAAAATAGCCCTCCACGCCTCCTGGCCGGGCCTTACCTTTGCCCTCCCCCCACCTCCAGGGCGAGCAGGGCAGTTATGTCCCTTCCTTTTCTGGGAGGCAGGGGATGACTCTGGGGAGATGGGTCACGGACCCTAACAGAGAGGACCTCTCGGGCCGGGCCTTAGGGGCAGATTTCCACACACTCTTGTCTGTGCTAGGACCTCTGAGGGTCCCACTGGGCTGTGGCATCAGCGCTTCTGCTGGCTGTATTTCCAAGGAGCTGAGGGCATGGGGTGGGGGAGACTGACCCCAGCTGAGCAGGGGGGGATTTGAGAGCCCTGGGACGCGTGTCTGGCTGGTAGCTTGATGCCAACCTTTGCTGGGCCAGACGGCTGCCAGGACTGTTTCCCACACTGGAACCAGGAGCGCCTGGAAGGTTCTGAGTGCCTAGCCAGAACTTATGTGAGGTGGCTTTTCTCTTACAATGTCGAGGGGTGCCCGGCTGGCCCTCCACTCAGCTCTAACCGTGTCCTGTACCTGACGCTGTCCTCTGACTCAACTCATGGACCTGGATTTCCATGGGGGCCCTTCACTGGGATCTCTGGGTAGACACCTCCATCTCCTGGGGTTGAGTGAGCCATGGGTGTTTCCCTGTCTCTGTCCTGGTTGAAGATGCTGGACATGTGGGCCCCGGAGATGCAAGGGCAGCTGTGAGACCTCGCTCTGCACGACCGGCTGAGAGACCCCGGGCACTAATGTTCCCCGGTCTCCTTACTTATAATCACGAGGGCACGACGTGCTGAGTTGTTGGGAAGTTTAAGGGAGTGCCTTGTCGGGGGCAGGGGGCCCCTCACACATCCCCACTAAAAGGCAACTGGAGTGGGTTAGCTGCAGCTCCCAGAGGCTCGCAAAGGGAGAGTGTGCCTGGCTTGAGGGGCCATCGTTGCTTGAACAGAAAACAGCCACAGCTTTACAAGGCAATCATGTCACCCCAGAAAGCCTTAATTAGAGCTGCTATTAGTAAATGGCTCAGAACAAAGGGAATTACAGGGGTGAGCCCCTGGAAAACAGGAAGCTGACAGAGGGAAGTGGCAGCCTCCTCCCGCCCGGGGCTGGCCCTGGCAGCGTGACAGAGGCTCGGGCTGGCTCTGACCCAGGGTCTGCGCCCAGTGCCTGTCCCTGTGACTGACCTCTAGCCGCTGGCCTGAGTGGGCTTGGGCTCACTGGTCCTGCCGCCCGGAGGATGCTTGTCCGTCGTCCTGACTCCTGACCCTCCCCGCTGACCTGGTCTCCTTTATCACTGTCTCCCTGGAGGCTCCCCCAGCCCCTTACCCCCACTTTCCTGGCTTCGGGGCCACTTGTGCTTTGCTTTTGTCATTTCTTCTTGCCAGGATCTGTGGGTCCTCTACAAACTCAGTGGATTTGTGATAAACTCTGTTGTGAAATATACCTCTTGAATATCTCCACTAATTTCTTCAAAATAAATGCTGGAGGTGAAATCGCAGGTCGCGGGGGACTGTGCCTGCCTGGCTGTGCAGTGAGGTGTCTGTGGGCTGCTGTGCTCAGCAGCCGGCCCTGGGGGGGGCGGGGGGGCCTGGATGCTGCCTGCATTTCTGCCCCTTACATTACGTGTCAAGTTAGTAAATCTTCCTGCACCGTCTTTCTTCATCTATAAAAGGAGAGCTGGCTGTTGGCCTCCTGGCCCCTGGGGTGTTGGAACGAGGTGGGGGACGGGAAAGCAGAGAGGGTTGACCTGGGGTGGGACCCTCCGGGCCTTGGCTTCCTTTGCTGGCGAACCTGGGTGCCTCTGGCTTTGCCTTCTGACCTTGACCTCACAACACAACCTGTGTGCTGGGGCTGGTAAATGTGGCACCTGCCCATACTCTCGACTGGTTATTAAACAGGGAGCAGGTATTGCAGGTGAGGAAGAAACGTTTAATACACAGGCCTTTTCTCAAAGAGCTGTCTGCTAAGGTGAGTAGGTTTGTAACTCCCCACAAGTCGAATGGATAGTTGATAGAGTTGTTTTTCAAGGACGTTCATGATTGATTGTCAATTGATTGACGCTCTGTGTGAGTTGGAGCGATCAAGGAGGCTTGCTGAGTCAGACTTGAGCAGCTTTGAAGGATGGGATGGGCTTGGGAGGCAGCGCTGGTGGAGTGGCAGAGAAACAAAGGAATGTTCCAAAGGCAGTGGGTGCCCATTGGTGGAGTTGGGGGCATCATACCCAGAGAAGGAAGTTGGGTATAGGAGCAAGACCAGAACTCCTATCTGTAAGCTGAGCTTTGAGGAATAGGTGTAAGTGTTAGGAGAGAAAAGCTGGCAGTTGGGTCAGCTATACAAGAAACCTACCACAGTCAACTGACAACTATAGAAATTACAGAATGAGTGGAGTGCTAGTCAGAAGCTGAGCTTACAGACACCCAATTGTTTTTCTAGATCAGTGACAGCCAATTAGAAAAACAAATAGAAAAAAAAAAACCACTTCTAAGAGTTGTGAAACTCATGAAGTTTTTATGATATAACTTATTCGCAAGATATTTATGGGAAGCAATGCAAGACTCTTATGAAAAAAACATGCAAGAAGGTCTGATGAAGTGGAATTATATTCAGAAAGAGTTTGACCTAACATTCTAAAGACATAAATTCTTTTCTCAGTTAATTTCTAGATTTCCTCAAACCCCATATCACCATCAGGGCGGTGTGGAGCGGCGTCCGGTCTATGTCAGATGCCGAGAGAGAGCTCAGATCTGGACACGACAATAAGCTGGAAAGCAAATCAAAGAGTATGTGAGAAGGTATTTTTGTATCTTGTGTGTGTGTGGGGGAAGCTGAAGGGTTTTAAGCAAATCTCAAAAGTCAAAACCAAAGGCTCGGAACTGATTGACGCAGCCACATCAAAATGAAGCGTCCAGGAAAGACTACAGAGAAAGCCGGTGCAGATGGCTGAGAGACCGGAAGGCCTCTCCAGCCACGGCATAGAGAGCATTCCTACAAACAGCATGGGAAAGGGCCTCACGGAACTCCCCAGGGGAAAGTCGGACACCTAGCCAGGACGTGAAGAGAAGCAGACTCGTGTGCTCTTCAAAAAAGATGCAGGTCGAAACAAGGGGTGTGTTTTTACCACTGGAATGAACAAGACTGAAGGGATGGTGCCACGTGGCGGGGCAAAGGCCCGAGGACAGGAGCCCTCGTGAGCTGGGGTGGGAGCGGGGGCTGGTGCAGTTGCCCTGCAGATGGGATGGTCCGGCGACCCCACTGGTCAGAGAGCGTGGGCCTCACCCCGGGTGGCTTTGTCATGCCAGGGCCGGGCCATCCATCACGGCAGTGTTCGTGGCCGAAGGAAGCTAGAGGCAGCCTTGCTGACCACAGGTTGGACAGAGATAGCTGAAAGATTATCAGTGCAAATTATGGACCAAATGCAGAAGCTCGAAGCAACCGAGTTGATGTCCTCTTAGGCAATGTGGTGTTGAGTTAAAATAAATGTCAACATAGGGCCCTCCCTGGTGGCGCAGCGGGTTAAAGCACTGCACTAAGAAGCTTAAGCCAATTCCACATGAGTTCGATCCCCGCCTGCCCTGGAGGTGACCACATGGCGCGGCAGACCTCTCCTGACCCGCCCGCTGCTCCCC